CTACTACTACTACTACTACTCCTTGCTACCTTTCTACTCCTCCTGCTACTGCTACGACGAACACTAGTCTGAGTGCCAGCTCAGTAATGATAGCAGCAGCAGCGGCAGCGGCGGCCGGGTGGTGTTGCTCGTGGTGGTGTTCTTCTTTTTCTCTCAGCTTGGCTACAGTTTGATACTCTCAGGCTCCTGCCTCATTCCGGACGGCTGGTGCTCCATGAGCTGAACCTCAGGTTTGCGGTGCTGAGGAAGTCAGACTGCGGATGCAAGCATCCAAGCTTGATACAGGGATCAAAAGGGATTATAGCAAGTTCTACGCCACGTTCCTCCAATCAGGCATCACGCATTTTCACGATCGTGCGGATCTAAAAACTAGATCCCCTANNAGGAGATCTAATTTTTAGATCCTTCCGGGAGAACAGGCTTCACGCAAAAGGTCCCAGGGCAGCCATTATGTGATGTGGACACCAGCTTCCATTTCATCTTGGGTTTGCTTCGCCAAGAATGGGCTAATATCCATACACCCCATGAGCCTCTGTGTCGATGATGCCCCCTTTATCTCCCTACATGCACCTGCCAGCAATACTAACTCCCCACCGCCCCCCACCCCCAATGATAAATATCCACTACCACATGTAACGGTACTATATTGCCGGGTGGGAAAAACACATGCTGCCACGTATCTCAGTGCTGCACCGTGCCGAATGTGCCATTCCCGATGACCCTCAGCTTGCGAAGATCCTTGAGGGCGATGTCCGTACGCCTTCGATGCGAAGCAACTCCCTAAGCAAGCCCCAAGAAGGACATCCAAAATGAGATCCACTAGATTATTATGCGAAATTGCGTAAGGGTTACATGAGGGTCGTTTTGGGCTTCTAGTTGGGATCAATTTTCTAGATCCACCCAGGGGTCTGCATGCTACCTGACATACGGGACTACTATTTTCTTGATTATGACAGTTCTTAGTATGATTAGTATTAATGCTATTATTAGTGGGGTGAATACAGCAAACCAAGCAAGGAGGCAGCATGGTTGCGAAGGCTAAGACCCAGCCCTGCCTCATCCTCCATTTCTCAGACAGTAACTAGCCAAAAGATAGGGGTCCTCTTTGGGGTTTCTTTTTGTGTTTATAAGGCTTCTATAACCCAAGATACAAAAATCTCGATGGAAGGAGCGGCAGCATGAAAGGGGCTGCGTCCGAACAAGTTTCGGAAATACCCGCTTTGAAGGAGAAGTGATACTCACAAGGCTTATAGGCCCGCCGAAAACAAATTTGGGGCACCCCCAGGAAGCATTTTTGGGGGGAAATTCCCTTGAACCCAAGGCCCCCTAAGCTCTGGAAATCCCTTAAACTCTATAGTCCCCCTTAAGTAGATAGAATATGGCCTTGGGTATGTTATAATAAGAACCCCATATACCCCATATTCTATCTGCTTAAGGGGGCCCCTAAACCCTAAATAGTATTTTCCAGCTTCTTTTCCATTATCCCAAAATAACCCAAATATTACCCTCACACATTCTATCTACTTAAAGGGGACTATAAACCCCTCAAGCATTCTGCAGAAGAAGCGGAAGGGCAGCCTGAGGTGCAGCTGGTCCTGCAACTTCTCAGACACTGCGTCCTGAGGCATGTGAGCTATAGTCTAAACTCCTAGTATCCCCCTTAATAACCCCATAATATAGGGTTTGGGGTTTAGGGTGAAGGGTCTGAACTCCTGGTATCCCCCTTAATAGACCCTCTAGTAGTCCCCTCTACAATCCCCTATATAACCCCCCTTTAAGGAGGTCTGACTGCATTTCACATTATCACGGGTATGACACATCCACCGTAGTCCCGAGCCTGCATACCATTCGTTAAAGCAATCCAGCACGGCCGTCCGAATGTGATGTCATCTACCGACAGATGATTTTAGAACACAACTTTTCTTGACCCATTGAAACCATAGGATCCCTTCAAAGGAGGAACTTGTCCTTGACAAGCTGTTCGAAGGTCATGGTGTCCACCGCCTGTCACTTTGGAGCCGTAAAGGACTAGCCCTTACTTTGCGTCTAGCTCGCCAGAATACTGCAGATGCGACTTGGTGCTTTCCTGAAGCCCTTATACCAAGAACCGTGGTTTTCGCACCACCTTGGTAGGTCTAGGCAGTACATAGGATCCCGGCCAGCAGCGTCACGAAGTCCTAGGACGTCCGAACGGGGTTTCCAAATTAGGGGTGCCTTATTGGGAGTCCCCATAATAAGGATTATAGTATTTTGGGGCCTATACCGGGGTTCCCCTATTTATGGAACCAATGGCATCAGTGGCATCCAAGTCTCAGAGGCACAGTGTTGGGCCCTAAACCGCATCTCTCTCAACGCACTTGACTTGTCATGCGCTGAAACGGCAGGATCCGTGTTGTAATCATGTCACCCCCCGGCAAAGATCAACATGCAGAACTTCAGGGAACCGACGTTACCGGACTGAGCTGGACAAGTCGTATGCCTGTTGGCTTTGTGGCTTTACTGCTGGGGGATCTCTTGAAATCAAAGTGCCCATAGAGGTATCGCATGGAGAACATTCAGGGAATCTGGGGGTCCCCTTTTCAGGCTTACCCAGTGGATGCGATGAAGGACTGCCAAATTTTCATGGTACTTTCCATACAAGAGGGGACACCAATATAGACCCACAAATACTAGAATCCTGACTATTGAAATTATAGGCGGCTGCAAAAGATGGGAATTTGGGCCAAGGGGCAGTCTTGCAGTTGACAGTGAAGTAGCGAGTCTTCTTGCTCAGCAGCCTAGGCAGAGGCTGCCCTCAGTTTCAACTGAGTACATGGTTGTCTGAGGCAAGGTTGGTCCGCATATGATATCTACTCCACAGCAGACGTCCCCTCAAAGTGGAAACATGATGTTGACAAATGATACGCATAGCCATGAAATCCTGGCTGGAAATGCTTGCTGCTCCTTTAGCATCTGTTAGCTGCTCTTTTCACCGCAGACTCCCCACCACTGCTGCCGCCGCACACCACCTGCTGGAGTTTATCTTCTTGTTGCGAAAGCCTGAGGTGGGGACTCGGCTTCGCCGAATGTGCTGAAAGAACCCAGCGTTCGAATGACCTCACCTGGACGGTGCGTTGTAAGAGAACTCTAGGCCCCCTTCGAAGTGCTTTTTAAGCATCCTTGAAATGGCTGCAGGGTCAAAAAGATTCTTGTGCAATTGCGGCCTTTGCAGGGAGCAAAAACGCTTCAACGCAATAGGACATGCTAACAGACAGACATGGGGGCTTCTCAAACAAGGTTCCCCTGTAGTATCCAGGATTGAGCGATAAGTTGAACATTACAACTAGTAACTAGTAGTAAGTATTGCTCAGGAGTGAATAGGCAGGAAGCTCTTTCATTCCCTTCTACACACCCACTCGTCTTGAGTTGAATGATATCTATGTTCAAGTTGCACACACAGTTGATTTTGAGAAACCACTCGGAGGGCCTCCTTTTGAGACAGTGACTTCGCCCTCCTTGATCACGAAGAAATGGGACGCCAAGTCACCTCTCAATTTAGGGATAGGGTTTATGTTAGGTATATGGGGGTAATATAGAGGTTGTATTAGGGTATATAGGGGTTATATTGGGACTACTAGGGTATATATTGGGGTAATATAGGGGCAATAGTAAGCTTTCGGATGGACAGTCTCAGGGATCTTGAACCCCGACTTCCCTAGATTGTTTTTCAGGGTCCCTGACAGGGAGCGATTGCCGGTCTGGGGTTACCTGAAAGTGCGCTCACAGACCAGGGCTCGAGGAGGCAAATGCCCAAACAAAATGCTTTCATCCCTTAAAGTACCCATGTCTAATCCCAATGTAACCCCTATATAGCCGCTGGGTTATTCATGGCACAATGGCAGATGTCCACCCTTCAACTTCTGCTCATCTATACAGTCTGGCCTTCCTTGAAGATCAGTTGGCCCTGTTGCCTGACACAAGTTGAGGGTTTAAGGGCTTAGGATTTCGGGTGTAGGGTTCAGGGCTAAGGATGATAAAGGGTTTAGGGTTTAGGGGTACCCTAGTAGTAAAGGATGAAACAGAAATTAACATCGAACATGACATGGAAGCTGGGCTTCAAAAGGGACTGCAGGGATTACGAGACCCATGCTCCAAGAAGGCATAGAGATCAATTACACTCCAGCTTCATTTCATCAACATCGGGGCCTCCTGGTACTAGCTCCCAAGGTGCATGTAAACAGTGATGTGAAGGAAGCCCTAAACCTGAAACACCACTCCGGAAGCCACAAACCCTCTTGTATACCCCCTATAAACCCCTGTATACCCGTATATGACCCCTATGTGTGTATATCTATATCTGTACTTAGCTCATATGTATTTTTCCCCTTCATACATCCATTTGAGCCCCCAAATGTCCCTCTATCCAAGTCCCCAAATCTGGCCTCAAGAGAAGTTGGCCAGCCTCTGCTACCTGGGCCTGCTGTTTGCTATCCAGGCTTCGCAAGATCAGCGTATTCTTCACCACCTGCGAGGAAGTCATGCAGACATGGTACACAAGTCATGGGATACATAGGGGTTACATAGGGATCATGTGAGCCATAGTCTGAACTCCTACTATCTCCCTTGATAACCCCTAGAATACTCCCCTATAAAGTCCCCGATATAACCGCATTTAAGGAGTTTAGACTATATAGCTTATGTGGGATAGTACCACATGCCAAAGGCCCAGTGGTGCCCTGATTCGGAAACTAAAAACCCTGATTCGGAAACTGAAACCCTGATTTGAAAACCAAAAAACACTGAGTGGTAAACTAAGACCCCTTGATCCGGAATGCAAGAGATTACTGTAAAGGGGATTTTAGTTTCCGAATCGGGCAATTTCTAGTTTCCGAATCGGTGATTTTCAGTTTCCGAAGCGGGAATTTGCAGTTTCCAAATCGGTGAGTTTCTGAATCGGGGTTTGTTCCCAAAGGTTCCCTGCCTGCAGCTTGTCCGCCGCAGAGTCTACAGCACCCACAGCATCCTGTAAAAGCACCGCCAGTGTGCAGTCGGACGTGAGGCTACCAGCCAGCAGCACATCCTTCGGCCAGCTTCCTGCATTGGCATCTAAGCGGAAGCCTGAAAAGATCTCCTGTGAGTGTTGAGGATCCTTCTCTGAAAGAGGTAGGCTCCCATCCAGGGTGGTGCACCAAACGATGGAATCAGCCTCTTCGGCAGAAAACATATGAGAAGTACCGGCGGGAAACGACTTGATGACGCATGCTCTTGCTAAGCCTTCTGGATCATCTCTCCACATGAGGGGGGTGCAGAACGCAGGCCGGTCGGACCATAAATCCCGAAGCATGCGAAGCAGAACACACCGCCACAAAAAGTCCTCCGCATTTTCCCCCAGCACGTCCTGGAGCAGCTGGAACGACAAGGCCAGTATCTCAGCGTCGCTCTCGGCACATACGCGAACTGTTTCAGCATGCGGCCTCTGGCACAAGGCTGACCTATGATCCAGACATTCGCCGGGGAAGATGCAGTTTTGGCGGGTTGCTGTGCAGGAGACCAGACCACCAGACTTGAGAATGTACAAAAACTTCTTGGGCATCTGCCATTCGTGATACAGGCAAGCACTGCTTGAATGGACCAGGGAAAAGGCATTCCTGCTAAGTATCGCCAAGTCAGGTGCATCCAGAAAGCGGAATAAAGGCGCTGTTGACAGGAAGTGGAGGTTCCTCACGCCAAATGTCCTGCTCAAAGCCTTCATTGTTGCAAGCACGGCCACGCTAGAAACAGCGAAGCATGTGCCGCCGAACTCGCCTGCAATCACGCCGCCAGCACGGACCTGCAGAAGTTCCAGTTCTCCGAATACGCACCCCGGTCCAAGTAAGCACTCCCCGCCCAAGGCATCCAAGAGCTTGAAGCTTCCGTCGCGAACGATGAAGATGCAAGTCCCAAATTGATCCTGCAGGGCATCAGCTGTATCGTAAAAACCGCGTTGAGGTACATGCCTGAATGAGTGCTAGACTGCTAGACTCGCCAACAGCAGGTCGCTTCACGTAAGGGAACATGAGACATTGCTATATAATCCCTATAGTATCTATCCCCTTCTTTCCTAATAACACCCAATAATTTCAGCCTTTTTGGAGGTGAGCTCTCCGGGCTTGAAGCGAAGAAGCTGCGTCTCCTGTGCCTTGGCACTCAAATGACTTGAGAAATGAAGAAGAAAATGGAAATTACTGCATTAGGGTAGGGTATATATTTGGCTTATAGTGATGATGTAGGAATGCAGTTCCAGAGGATTATGAGGTTAAGCTAAGCATAAACCTAGGATTGGCCGGGTATGCTTTGACAAGCCCAGCAGACCCCGGACAGCAAAACGCAGCCAGTAGGAGTCAAATTCTAAACGAACAAGGGGCTTATATAGGGGATTATAGAAGGGACTTTGACAAGGGTTATTAAGGGGCTTTGAATTCCAAGCTAGTTTAGACTGTTTGCATAGCTTGGTGGACAAAGGAATTCAAACTTGGCTGTGCGCTGGCAAGCCCCTCAAAACAAATGGCGTCACATCTAAATCTGACACACAATGTATAGTAGCTTATATCACCCCAAAATAACCCTAGTATACTGTGGTAACTTCCAGTTTCTTTTCCATTATTCCCTATATAACCCCAGTATACTATAGTAGCTTCCATTTTCTTTTCCATCATAACCCCAATATACCCTAAAGTCTTAGGCAAATCGCGGCTGAAGTGCTTCACCATCATTGTCTTCAAGTCTCCAAGCGTTATATAGGGGATTATATAGGGATATGGGGTTTAGGGTTTAGGATTTAGGAGGTTACTGCTTGATAGTATTACCCCAATAACGGAGAATCAAATGGAAAATAAAATGGACAATGACATGAACACTGGGATTGTGTAGGGGTTTATAGGGATTCTGAGCTAGATCCACCCCGAAATCCAAAGCAAGCTCCGCGGAGATCAGAATAGTTGTCACCTGTGGCAACAAGAAAACACTAGTGAGGTACAGTAGGATTCCAATGTTCGGTCCTCCCAAGTGGACACCACATATATACACTCATCAAGATGTTTAAGGAGCCCTATATGGTAGGTTGCTTAAATTGTGGAGTGATGGTTTTTCCTGGGGTTTCCAGCATTCTACGACCCTGATATTGCATATGCCCCAAAAAGGACTACACCTTTGGCATCCTGCCATATAGCATAATACAACCCAACCTCATGTGAGCTATGGTCTAAACTCCTAGTATCCCCCTTAATAAGCTCTAAAACAATCCCCTGTATAATTCCCTATATAACCCCCTTCAAGGATTTTAGACTCTAGCTTATAATCCCTATAAATAAACCGCTTCATTATCCCAATTTTCTTCTCCAGTTGATTCACGTGTAATTTCCATTCAGGGTCCAAGAAGCCAAATCTCGGAGCTGTTCTTCATCAAATGCTGAGCAGAAGAGGCTTCCTGAGGACAGACCTGAAGCAAGCAATGGTACATAACCTTGGGATTATATGAAGGATTTGGGGTTTAGGGCTTAGGGTTTAGGGCCTAGGATTTGGGTTTGGGGTTTTGGGTTTTGGAATATTACCCCAGTAATGGAGAATCAAATGGAAAAGAATATGGAAAATGAAATGGAAACTGGGATTTTGTAGAGGTTTATAGGGATGACAGGCTAGGGATTATATAAGCAGTTTAATATGTATAATCTAGGGATCATGTAAGTGGTTTAGGGGGGTTGGGCTCAATGGAGTTCCAGTTCAGGGTTTCTTTTAGGAGCCCAAAAGCGAGTTTATATGAACTCATTCTACATGGGAATCCGCAACTGAAGCACAAGTGGCACTCACTTCGGAGTCGTCGCGAGATCCCACTTTGGTGGTCCCTAAACAAATATGAACTATAGTCTAAACTCCCTAAAAGGGGGATATATAGGGGATTATATAGGGAACTACTATAGGGGATATTAAGGGGGATACTAGGAGTTTTACTATGGCATATATGGGGATTCCAGGCCGTGCCCTGATTTTGAGAAACTCCGACCTGACCCAAATGGAAATACTTAAGCCAACATTGATGACCAAAACTTATTACAGGAGAACCACATGTAAAGGATTGTACAAGAAAATGGAACATGAAATGGACAAAATGTTATAGATTTGTTCGTGGAATTATTCAGTGAGACTAGGAAGCAGACGCTGGGAAGGAACCCCTTCGCTCCCCCCCTTATCCTCGCTGGCCTCGCGTACTAAGGGGAAGCATAGCTCTGAAGTGCCAAAGGCTTGCACTTAATTTGTTTGCCTGTACTATGGCTGACTAAATGTCCTACAAACTCCAGGCCACCAAACCCTAAACACTAAATTCTTTTGCTAGATGTAAACCCTAAACCCCCAAACCCTGTAACTCCCTTGATCCCCATGGTCCCCCCCTACAGAGACCCCCCAAAAGGGATGATCGCCTCGTGAGAAGAGTGCGAAGTCAGACCCAGATGGGCTCATGAAGTAGTCCGCGACAGCATGGTCCTACACGGCTTAGGCTGTAGGTGATTTTGAGGTATCTACAAGTGATGGCACGCTTGAGGATCTTACTGTACAAGCAAGGATAGTTTTCAAGGTTGCGCATATATTGAGAAACGCACGTTGAGCGCCACCACCACAACAAGAGGAGCCCCCAACAAGAAACTCCAAGTTCCAGAATCCACTGGCACCTAAAGCATAAGTCCCATTGTCTGCACTCACTATAAAGCCTTCTTTGGAACACAAGACATGGGACTAATTACAAGAATGCGCGATCCTTGACACGTGCAATGAACTACAGACTACTGGCATTCGCAGATCTGTCTTCAGACTGGCAAATCTGGGTTGCCGGCTGTTAAAGAACTAAATTAAAGATACCACCAGAACGCGTGTTATTTATATCCGTCTCCGCCCAGGCCTCTGGCCCTGAAGGTCCGGAAAGGAGGCGCTTTCCAAAAAGATGCAACCCTTTTCAGCTCCCCTGTCCCCCTACTCCGGCCGGCCCGCTCCCTTTGTGCTGCTCAGAGTGTTTTTTCCTTCCCCCCCTCCTCCTCCCCTCCCCTTCTCTTTCTTCAACACGGTAGGGCCCCACAATTCAGCTTTCTCGGGTGCTCCGCATGTTCGCCAGCATCGCTAGCCCGCCTCCAGCCAGGCCCAAGCGGTGCACGGTAGCCTTAATATTCTGGTAACGTCATTTCGGCTCCTGAGCAGCAACCCAGTTATTAGCCTCCCTTGTGGCCTGAAGTTCGGAAATCGATGCAACTCGACCTCAGGGCAAGCAGCCTGACAAACTACAACTCTGCAGAACTTACTGGTTTTAGTAGGGAATACAGCTATATACTATGTAGGGATTCTATGCCCCTGTTCCCTACTAACAGCCAGTAAGGGAAGGTATACCTCAATTCCTGCACAAGCTGCCTCAGTATATATCTCCATCCTTCAGACCCCCAGGGGTTTGGGTTTAGGGTTTAGGGGTTTAGGGTTTACATTTAATTTTCCATTTGATGTTCTCCATTATGATTGGGGTATCTATAAACTGAATTCAGCCTGCTGTCCAGACCTGGTAGGGCAAGAAAGGAGTTTGAATGATTGGACTGATGAATGATAGTAAGAATAATACTCATAGTAACTGCAAAGCTTCATGTTTCGGGCAAGCTGCTCACGGAGTCAGTGCTCTGGGTCTTCCCAGACCTGGACCGCAAGCTTTGAATACACCCGAAACCCTAAACCCCTACCTGAGCCTTTATACTTGGGTGGTTGGCAAAATTATGGTCCCTTTTTGGGTACCCTGATTATTAGGTGCCGTACTATAATAGGGACCATAATTTTGACAACCACCCAATTGCCTTTTGGGCTGTTTTGAATGGTTTTGGGCTGTTATTTTACCTGCTTTTGGGGGTTTAGGTAGAGGCCCTGCATCAATTTGTGCGGCTCGAAGTCCCTAAGTGGACTATGTGGGGAAAATTAGGGGTACCTACTATAATGGAGAATCAAATGGAAACTGGGATTATTTAGGGTTTAGGGTTTAGGGTTTACCCCAATAATGGAGAATCAAATGGAAAAGAAAATGGAAAATGAAATGGAAACTGGGATTATATAGGGGATTATAGGGATTCGGCTTTCCCAAAATTAGGGATACCATTTTAGGCTTCCCCATAGTAAGGATTATAATGTTTTGGGGCGTGTACTGAATTATGGGGGGCGTCCTTGACTTAGATACCATGTTCGAGGTCCCCAGAATGAGGATTGGGAGTATCTTGGGGGCTATGTTGGGGTCCCCCTGTTTTGGAAAACTACCACATCTTAATCATTCTCCATCACAACTTATCAGGGACTTTCCCCATCTGAGCTACAACCTAAACTCCTAACATCCCCCTTAATAACCCCCATTACATCCCCCACATAACTCCTTCTGTGGACTTTAGATTCTAGCTCATTTGGTGGTTAGCATTCTCAGAAAGGCCTGAAGTTCCGCTTGACGGCACTATGCTCAGCAAGGCTGCGCAGGTTGCCAAAGCTCCTGCCCAAACGACATGTGAGTTGTAGTCTAAACTCCTTAAAGGGGGTTCTATAGGGGATTATATAGGGGACTACTATAGGGGTTATTAAGGGGGATACTAGGAGTTTAGACAGTAGCTCATGTGGCTGCCCATCACAAAGCCACAGTTCAGAGGGTGACGGATCACAAGCCGATCGACAGTACTGCATTCCAGTTCCAGACTTGAACCCAGTCCAGGCAGGTCGCAGGCAGTCGGTGAGACCTCAAGGCGTGAGCATGACCATTGAAGATCTATATCTTTATTTGACCAGTTGCCCAACCCTAAACCCTAACCCCTAAACCCTAAACCCCCAAACCCGTAAACCCCAAACCCAAAACCCCTAAACACAAAACCCTAGTTTTTAGGGTGTAGGGTGCAGGCTTTTGCTGTCATCCTTGCGGTGTAAGCCCGGAGCATGAGTCAGGTCTGCTGCTGGCATCTGACCTTGCAGCAAATCTGAAAGATCAAATGAGTAGGGTTTAAGGTTTAGGATTTAGGGTTTAGGATTTCAGGTTTAGGGTTTAGGGTCCTTAGCGTTGCTTTTGGTAATGGGCTTATATTGGGATAATGGAAAACAAAATGGAAACTACTATATTATAGTGGGGCATATATTTGGGGTTTTGTTGGG